AACACAAAAATCCTCAGTTAAGCTTTAGCGCTTTCATTTTTCAATCTTCAGAAGCTTACACTAGTACCATAGTAACAGTGATTATGACGTCATGTTAAACGGAACGTTAAATGTCTATTATGACGTCATAGATACAATATGACAAAAGTACGGGAAAATCACAAGTAATTTATAAAACACTATTAAGTTTTGGCTGAAAAATACTAATAAAATGTTTTTCTTTTTCCCGTCTCTGGATATCAGTGGCACAACTGAGTTTATAGAAAGGGAAAATTTTGAACTGTTTTTTACCACACGCCTCTAGGTGCGAACTTAATTGAATTTGTCTGTATTCGGGTGTACTAATGTGTTGCTTATGTACACGTACACGGGCACGGAGAGTGTTGCCGGTTTCACCAATATAATATTCCTTGCATCCAGGACATGTGATGACATAAATGACATTTTTTGTATCGCATGACATGTTTTCTTTAACTCTAAATTCACGCCCATTGAAATTATAGCTGGTCCCTTCTGTAATGTATTCACATGTACCGCATCGAGGGTTCTTACACTAAGAGACTGTATAAGTATGGTCGTTGAATTTGGAAGAACAAAGTATTCTCTTTAGGTTTTTGGGTTGGCGTTTACTGTTGATAAAACGACAATTCTTGTATACGTTTTTCGTTTGTTCGTCCTCTCTAAGTACGTTGTTCAATTCATAAATAATTGAACTCACGTTTTGATTTCTCGGGTTATGCGTGTGCACAAATGGAATTATTTCAACGTCATTCATTTCAACGTCATTCGCACGTCGTATGTTTAAAAGTAACTGACCTCTATCGCACTCCTTGGCTTTCTTTATACCATTATCTACAAGTTGTTCTGGATATTTTTGGTTTAATAAATACAATTTTAATTCCTCCAGACGAATATCCCTGATATTGGTATTACTCACAATGGTGCATATCCTTCTTGCGAGGTTATATGGTATAGCTGTTTTAGTGTGATGGGGATGGCTCGATCCAAAATGCAGATATTGGTGTGTGTCGGTTGGTTTATAGTAAATATCCGTATTTAAGCTGGTATTATCCTTTGTTACAAGAACATCGAGGAATGGCATTTGCAAATCATCTGTTTCCATCGTGAATTTGATATCCGAATTCATTTGGTTAAGTAGATCATAAAACTCCGTTAGTTTATCGACATCCTCCTCCCATAAGATAAAACAATCGTCTAGAAATCTTTTCCATTTCGACCGTATTTTGTTTGCAGATTCTATCCCCCACAACGTACACAGTTGATCATGTAATAATACCAGCTTAAATACGGATATTTACTATAAACCAACCGACACACACCAATATCTGCATTTTGGATCGAGCCATCCCCATCACACTAAAACAGCTATACCATATAACCTCGCAAGAAGGATATGCACCATTGTGAGTAATACCAATATCAGGGATATTCGTCTGGAGGAATTAAAATTGTATTTATTAAACCAAAAATATCCAGAACAACTTGTAGATAATGGTATAAAGAAAGCCAAGGAGTGCGATAGAGGTCAGTTACTTTTAAACATACGACGTGCGAATGACGTTGAAATGAATGACGTTGAAATAATTCCATTTGTGCACACGCATAACCCGAGAAATCAAAACGTGAGTTCAATTATTTATGAATTGAACAACGTACTTAGAGAGGACGAACAAACGAAAAACGTATACAAGAATTGTCGTTTTATCAACAGTAAACGCCAACCCAAAAACCTAAAGAGAATACTTTGTTCTTCCAAATTCAACGACCATACTTATACAGTCTCTAAGTGTAAGAACCCTCGATGCGGTACATGTGAATACATTACAGAAGGGACCAGCTATAATTATGTTCCCCAAACGAAGTTGGGGAACATATTGTTTTTACTCTGTTTCTTATTATTATTATTTTTCTTCTTCTTCTTCTTCTTCTTCTTCCTGGGTACTTTTTTGTCCGGGAGTGATCTTGTAAACTGTTCGTCCGATGTAGGTAAAACCTTTTTAGGGTCAGTAGACATGTTACGTAGATTTGCGGAATCAAGGTCATTTTGCGCGCACGTGCTTGCAAGAGCGTGCACGTGCAACACGTGAAATGACCAATATAATGGATATTGCGTAACTTTTCTATTTTTTGATGAAATTTTTTGAAACTCATAATGTAAGGATACATTAGAAGTATAGACAAGATAGCATGGTCAAAATAGCAAGCTCTCACGCGCATGCACGTGCGCTTCGCTCTGATTGGCTGAAACTAAAGTCTCAATATCTTTCTTGTTTCTTGTCATAATCCTTTGAAATTTTGAACTTAGTCCTACATTATGAATATCTACAGCATGATATAAAAGAATTTTCATGAAAACATGCGCATGTGCGCGTGCTGTAATCTGATTGGCTGAAACTTTAAATGGCTACATATCCTTTGTTTTTTGACAAAATTCTTTGAAATTTAAAATATAGTCATGCATTAGGATAACCTACAATATGGTATAGAAAAATATTCAGGAAATCACACGTATGCACGTGTGCTGCAATCTGATTGGCTGAAACTTCAAATGGCTATAACTCTCTTGTTTTTCAACCAAACCGGATGGGATTTAAAACAGAGATAGATGTAAAGGACTCCTACAAGAAGGTATGGTCATCATGCACGTGCACGCACATGCGTGCATTTAGAACGAGTATATTAAAAATACACTTGAATGAGTGATTTTTATTTCTTTTGGACTGAATGCTTTAATATATAGTATATTAAAATATATAGATAGTGTAGACAAGATGATATGGTCATAACGCACATGCATTCACGTACATGCGCTTGGGTGCAATGCTAAAATATGAATATAATTGGTATCCTTTTGGGAAAACGTTGTTAAAGTCAAAAATGCACAGAGTTTGTCTTATTTAATGAAGCTTACAGGGAATATGGCACCAAAAGGGAGTTGGGGAGCGTTTGGGGAACATCTGTAACGGTTCCCGTTACAATTAGCACTAGTTTCAATGGGCGTGAATTTAGAGTTAAAGAAAACATGTCATGCGATACAAAAAATGTCATTTATGTCATCACATGTCCTGGATGCAAGGAATATTATATTGGTGAAACCGGCAACACTCTCCGTGCCCGTGTACGTGTACATAAGCAACACATTAGTACACCCGAATACAGACAAATTCAATTAAGTTCGCACCTAGAGGCGTGTGGTAAAAAACAGTTCAAAATTTTCCCTTTCTATAAACTCAGTTGTGCCACTGATATCCAGAGACGGGAAAAAGAAAAACATTTTATTAGTATTTTTCAGCCAAAACTTAATAGTGTTTTATAAATTACTTGTGATTTTCCCGTACTTTTGTCATATTGTATCTATGACGTCATAATAGACATTTAACGTTCCGTTTAACATGACGTCATAATCACTGTTACTATGGTACTAGTGTAAGCTTCTGAAGATTGAAAAATGAAAGCGCTAAAGCTTAACTGAGGATTTTTGTGTTTTCTTTTTACTTTTTTTAATATATATATATATATATATATATATATATATATATATATATATATATATATATATATATATATATATATATATATATATATATATATATATAGTTGAAAGTTGTTTAAAGTTGATGTCACACAAGTGAAAATAATTATAAAAGAAAAAGAAAATGCAGTTTCCAAATTTCATTTCACACAAGCGCTTTCTGGATTTCATAATTGAACTGATTGTTTTGCTTGGTAACGTTAACTATGACGTCATAACGTCATGAGAGCCTTTGCAGGGAAGGAAGTAATCTATGACGTCATAGTAAGACTACGTTACGTAAAAGTTAGGGAAAATTAAATAGGATAATAATGGACAATAAATCATGCTTATCTCAGTCCCAAAAAACAATGTAAAAAACAATTATGATTGCTGGTATACAAAAAAGATAATTTCTAAATGTTAATGTTTGTTCAGTTTTGGTGAAAAAAAGGGTTATAAAAATCTAAAGAAAACTATTTTATAAACCTTTTTTCACCAAACCTGAACAAACATTAACATTAAGAAATTATCTTTTTTGTATACATGTACCAGCAATCATAATTGTTTTTTACATTGTTTTTTTTAGAGATACCTTTATTCAAGGTTGATAGAGAATGGGTGCCTCTTTTTTAGCATATTTAATATTTTTAAAATCTGAAGTAAAATATATCTTAGGTATTTAATAATTAAATTATTGTTCAAATATTCAACTATTTTTTATAGAGTGAATTGGAGGTCTTTCATTGCAAATTGCTTAATTAAAAACACATATCATTTCAAACTTGCTTTCACTGGGCAACATAACAAATGTAACTTTTAACCATCTGCCTTCCTTCACTAAAACGATCAATCCAATCGTTAATTGAATTTAAATGAACTCATTAATCTTAATAAAATGTGTACAAATTATTATATGATACTATAGAGGGATTTCTAAGATATACAACAAATTGTACAGTCGTTTGTTGAACGAGTTCGACTGAGACAACCAGTTTTCGTCACAAGTGACCTACATAGTGATTTTCACATTGTGACATCACAAGCAAGGAGAAAAACTTTAATCAGCATATGCTATTTATAGACCTTTTGTATGGCTATGTGTGGCTATTACATTCTAATCTGAATTGTGGTTTTGTAGATATAGATATAGTTCCCGAACGTTTTGATCACCCCTATATATATATATATATATATATATATATATATATATATATATATATATATATATATATATATATATATATATATATATATATATATATATATATATATATATATATATATAGGTAGGTAGGTAGGTAGGTATGCATGTATGTATGTATGTTTTTTTAATTAGTCAATTAAAAAAAATACATGTGATTATGATATAATTTTTTTCTCTGATTTAAACAAATTGTAGATTGATTTTTTTACGCCCAGTGGATAATATTTTAGCTATATTTCAGCGAAGACAAATTATAGAACATTATACAACCAGAACAAATCCTGATAATGCATTTTCTTTCCTCCTGTTCCATACTCGAACCAACACAATCTTTTCCCCCGTTTTGGGGTACCGGGTTGTTACAGGTCCGATTTCGGGTTCTCTCCTGAATTCCGTATCCACAGCTTGATGAGCATTGTGTCCATTCACTGTATGGACCATAAATGGACCATCCACCAGGAACTTGTTTGTATGAAAAAAGATAAATTATGTCTTATTTTTTAGAAAAAAAAAATATAAAAAGGAAAACATTTCCTAGACAATTTTAGCTGCGTTGTTATCTACACTGTTGTAGTAATTTATTCATTCAAAGAGGTATAGCGCACTTAGAATACAAAACAATAACCTATAAAAGAACGCGTTTACAAAAAATCCAAAATGTTTCTGCAATATTTCATTATGATTTGTTTGTCCTCTACTTATGTTTCAGTGTTTAAAAAAAAACTGGGGAATCATTATTTGGACCATACAAAGTACATATTCATTAGTTCATGATCCTGGAGCTTTTATGATATGAAAATTTCCATCTTTATCACCATTTTCAGATTTGACCTTGAAATTAAAGTTTGTTCGGTATGCCAGGGCATCAACATTACATGTAGTTGAAAACATGGGAAAATTTGCATAACAGACAAAGCCCTTATGCATAAATAATTACACGTTTCGAACTATCGCAAGAGTGTTTCTGACATGACGAAAAATCATCTGCTTGAAAGGTTTTTTCTTGCGACAAGAATACCTTTGGTCTCTTTCATGTAGCTGTCTAGAGGGGTTTGTCAAGTATATATATCCATTGCACTTCCATGATTCCATGATTTCAAATTATTTAATTCTAGCTTTTCAAATGTTTACATGTTTATAATTAAAATAGGCTAATTAAATTTAAAATCTCTGCACCAGAAACAAATGACATTACTACAATTTATGTCATCTATATATGTTTCAATGTTTCAAAAAACCTGGAGAATTATTATTTGGACAATACACAGTACATATTATTAGTTCATGACCTTGGAACTTTTATGTTATGAAAATATTATGAAAATGTTTATAACTTCATTCTAAATTTCTGATGTATTTCTAATTAATGATAGTTATTACATGTGCATGTATTTGTACATGTTAAATAAAATTTTTCATTTTTGAACATTTTACAGAATTGTGAATCAACATAATTTCTTGACTGTTTTAAAGAGTTTTATCATGAAAGGTCTACAACAAAATTAGTTTTGGGAACTAATATTAAATGCACCTTATGTACTTTGTATTATGTACGGGAGAAAGCCCGTCATTCATAAATTATCCCACGTTTCCACTATCGTTGACGTCCCTGACATACTATACTAACTAGGCAGTGATTCCTTATATTTGCATTTTATTGTGAAATAAATTTGTAGATTTAGATTCTAAAAATGTAGACTACTAGATTTTAATAACACATGGCCTCCCATGTCAATTCCAATAGTCCTCGCCCAATAACGTCAAACGCAAAGGAAGCCGCACGAGATTACATGCATATTTGGCCACCTTAGCATCAGACAAAGTGACAGATTTGCATACATATTAAGCCTCCTTAGCTCCTGACCTATCGACTTGCCTAGTTTTCATTCCGATAGATTTATCAAGAAATCAAATCTGCTAACTTTCAAAGAGCTATCACAGAGAAAAAAAATAGAAAAATTTAAATATTAGCAATTCAAAGTAGACTTTTGATTAAATACACGATACTTACTATGCAAGTGAAATCTAAATATAGTTTACGGACAACATCTTGTACATAGTGTTTTGCTAGAGGAGTTATTAAGAAAGAACTCTGGAGTTTATTTGCAAAAGAATCTGGGGGGATTAAACGAGTCATATGCCTATGCAAGGGCAGGTAAAACATCAATCAAAAATTTTTACAAATTCCACATTTTATTAAATCTGGGAGTTATTTATAAGTGATTTACTTAAATTCACTAAATCAAAGTATTTATTTACGATGTTCGAATATGTTTTCTAAGGCGGTGGTCATCTCAAGTTCTTCAATCTCCGTACGATAATGAGGACGCCCACTTTTTTGCTGACTTTAAACATACTCAGCGCATGTTTGTCTATTGTTCTCCTTTTAACAGTAGTTGTATATTTGCTTTTGAAATTTTGTGTTTAAAGGAGATTAATATACAAACATGTGCTCATGGTTTAACAGGTCGAGACAACTACCTTAAATGGATGGCAATTTTCAACACGTTACGATGTCTTCGTCACGTCCGTTCTCCAGTCAAGTGAAAAAGTTACAAAGCATGACAGTCTACTACGTGTTTACGATTCAATGGCGACACGTGGTTTTCGATGTTTTACTGCACAATATTTAACTCGTCACCGGAAAAACTGTAGAGCTTCTTTATCACTTAACAAGACCTAAATTGAAAGATTATATTCTAAAGACATTGCAGTCCCTCTTATTTGAACATATTCTCAAAAACTCCAAGTTTAATAGTGTGTTACTATACATATAGAATTGCTTGTTATTAAAAAAAGGCAATGTATGTGCGACTTCGTGGTTCAGTAGTCATAGCGGCGATGTGGAAGCACTCACTTATTTGTCGCGAGTGTTCGAATCATGTGTTTTTAAGTTCAGGTTGAAATTTATAGATAAATATATTTTTTCACTAAAAACAAAATAAACTAGAGGCACTGTGAGCAATGAGCTAACTAAATGATACCCCCGCCTCCGATATGTGTATAAACGGCAGTGTCCATGTTTTGCTATGGGAAACCCAAAATATATGTCGGATCAAGAAGTAAAATAGGAGATGCACAATGGCAATGTGTAATTAAAGATTCTGTGAAAGTTTCATCAAATTTCATTCAGTGGTATGAGAGGAGTTGCGGATAAGAGATGGGTACCCAAAAGCGTAACAGGCGGGCGGACGTACAGCTAGACAGACGTACGGACGGACGGATATCCCGATTAGTTGCCCTCCCACTTTTCAAGCGCGGGGGGTATAATGATTAATCTATTTACGGTCAATTAATATATTTCCTATAATAAACACGTTTTCAAGGTATATAACATTTTGAATGCATTCAGTTCAAGACTACATTACACGATTAAAATGTAAACAAAAATGGGAAAAACAGCACGATATGGCTGTTCTGTATGCAAAAACAGTTAAAAAGAGAGGTAAAGCGTACCATCTCCCAACCCCTGAAAATTTATTTGATAGAACAATTAACAAGCAGTATAAATGAATTTTATTGTAATTTGGACAGTTCTGTACAAATCGTACGACTATGAAATTTCCTATATGCTTACACAGAGACAAAATTCGTGTGGGCATACATGTATGACTTGTTTAGTCCCCCCAGATTCTTTAACAATTTATAAGATTAGTATAGCTGGGGTTTCCGACAGTTTTGGAAAGAAGAGACACCAAAAAAAACCAAAAAAAACGACTCGTTGACGAAGTACGTAAGATGCATAAGTAGCTTCCAAAACTAATGGTGTTTTAGACTTTTCATGATAACAAAAATCAGTCAAGATATAATCTTTATTCATAATTCTGTAAAATTGTAAAACAATCAAAAATGCTTCGATAATGAAAAGTATTTTATTTGATACTAGCGGTCTATTCATGCGTGCAGAGAGGCCGGTTGTGAAGTTATCGAAGAGACTCGTATAACCCATATATAGCTCTAATAGTGTTTCTCATGAATTTATAGTCCAAATCACAACATAATTTTACGAGTAAATATCATAAAATTTATATATATCTACAAGTTGCTTAGAATATATCATGGCAGTAGGTGAAATACTGGGAAATGGCGTTATACCTCTTTAAAATATTCCCCTGAATATAGAAAATCTCAAAGCAGTATACAACCAGAACAAATCCTGATGTTGCATTTTCTTTGCTCCTGTTCCATACTCGAACCAACACAGTCTTTTCCCCCGTTCTGTGGTACCGGGTTGTTACATGTCCGATTTCGGGTTCTCTCCTGAATTCCGTTTCCACAGCTTGATGAGCATTGTGTCCATTCACTGTATGGACCATAAATGGACCATCCACCAGGAGCTTGTTTATATAAATAAAGAAAAGTAAATTAAGTATTATTTCACATAAACAAATTATAGAAAGAAAACTTTTCCTGGACAATTTTGAGCAACTTTGGCATCTATACTAGTGCAGTAATTTATTCATAGAGGTATAGCGCACTTAGAATACGAAATAGCCTATAAAATAGCACAGTAACAAACATCCAGAATGTTTTAATATTTTATTATTATTTGTAAATCTAGCTTTAAACAATTCCAGAATTGCATGGGATGTATGGGTGTCTTCCTAATGAACAGAAAAATTCAGGTTTATGTATTTGAACCAACCTAAACCAGAAACAACTTAAAGGGATTATGTTCTTTTGATATCATGGTGTACTAATGGAATCATTGTCAGTTTATTCGGTATATGCCAGAGCATCAACAATACATATAGTTGAAAACGTGGGAAATTTTGCACAACAGACAAAACCCTTATGCATAAATTATTACATCTTTTAAACTATCGCAAGAGTGTTTCTGACATGACAAAAAAAATCTAGAAGACTCGGTTTGAAAGAGTTTCTTACGACAAGAATACCTTCGGTCTTTTTCATGTAGCTGTCTAAAGGGGTTTGTCTTCATATCCATTACATTTCCATGATTTCTAAGAATTTAATTCTAGGTTTTTAAATGGTCACATGCTTATAAATATAAAAAATCTAATTCTGAATTCAATACTAAGTTAAAAATCTCTGCACTATATATGTTTAACAATACTACAATTAATGTTCTTCATATGTTTCAATATTTTCAAAAAAAAAAAAAACTGAAGAACTATTATGTGGACCACACACAGTACATATTATAAGTTCATGACCCTGGAGCTTTTATAACATGAAACTTTCCATCTTTATCACAATTTTCTGATATGACCTTGAAATTCAAGTTGTTGTTTACAGGAAGTGCAAAACCTCTAGAGTCGCTCGTAAAAAAACTAAAAAGAAAACATTCACAACCCAACAAGTTTATAACTTCATTCTAAATTTCTTATGGAAGGATATGGAGATTAAGAACAGTATTCAATATCAAAGTCCATACAAAAATACGAAATAGAAGCAGAGCAAACACGGCCCTCCGAAACATATGAGGTGCCATGGAGAAGTGAGCATCCCCTGCTGATAGGTCATACCAGCTGTGAGCTACTTGTCACGATCGTGAAATAACGGAAAAATCTTTCGTCAATTCAGTGTATAAATAATGGACTAACAATTGATATGAAAAACGTCAGTCAGCATTTGACTCAATGATAAATTGTATTTGCTGACAAGGTCATTGTATTAACCATAGAACTTGATGACTTAAATGAGACTGCTGATATTCTTGTTTTCTCAACTTGTTTATCAATAATTTACCTCGTTTTAGAAATTGTTCATACGTAGAGCATGCCCTTGCATATCGAATCAACTGAGATATATACACTCCGTATGCAGGTGATGAAGGTATATTGCTGCATAAATAAGGGAAGTTGACGATAGAAAAGTTAAAGTTTATCATGGTTGTTAGGTTACCATTATCGTCTTTTCAAGTAAAATATCCCAGTATTAAACAGATGTGCCAGACTCTGTGGTATCATTTATCTCAAGCTCTCCTGGATATATCGTATCGACGTAGGGATGGAAATTACTATTGTTAATTGTCAATACGTCGTCGATATATCTGAAGGTCGAGTTAAAGGCCACAGCAAGTGTTTTCTTCTTTTCACGCATAAGATATTGCATAAATTCTACTTCAAAAGAATACAAAGATAGGTCTGCTAATAACGGAGTGCAATTGGTTCCCATGGGAATTCCAATAGATTGTTGGAAGACCTAGTCTCCAAAACCCACATAGATATTTTCAATCAGAAACTCAAGTATCTTTTTGATGTTGACTTCAGAATACTTGTTTGTACAATCACAGTGTTTTTTTCACAAAATAATTTTGCAAATAACCAATGACCAGGTTAGTGAATTTGTTGAAATAGCAGCTGTCAATGATATCAAAAAGCCTGGAGTTTAATTTATCGTGGGGAATGGTTGCATATAAAGTTGAAAAGTCGTAAGTTTTTAAGCTGTTGATTTTAGTAAAATCTTGATTCAAACCACTTTTTGAATATATAGTTGCACAGTACTCTTGAAGTTTTTACTTCACTATTGACAATATCTTAGTGAAGAGTAACGAAAGAGGCTTGGTTGAACATTAACTGGAACCCGCAATGTATCTTTGTTTCTAAGAATTCTTAAGAAGTTTCGGAATCCAATATATATAAGGTAGTTCGTTTTGGCTCTGTGGAATATTAAAAATATTCAAAACTGACACATGATTTTGAAGACTTTCTTCCTTAGAACGGGAAATAAGAATATAATGCGGATTACCACTTGTAGAATAAAATCCAAGTTCTTCTAGAATACAATTTATATATAATGAGCCTTACAAACGAAGACAATTTTGCTACCTGCTTTGTCGGCAGGCACCGATGATCATGTAATCTATCTAATTCTTTTTTTCACTTCTGGTTTATTGAACACAGAAGGATAGATGGTTTTCATATTGCCCCTCAATCTTTTAATACGTGACTTTAACATGGATCTGATACATTTAATCCATTCTGACAAGGTGTCAAACGTCTTCTTTTCCTATCTTGCCCATCGTCTGGAGTAATTTTCATAATCTATAATATTAATGAATTTCTGACGCCAGTTGAGGGTCGGGATTCCCTATATTTAGGTCTTTTAAAAATAAGTTATCTAAGGTCCTCATTATTAACTATATTTACGTCACCTGTAATAACGTGTCTAGCAGGACTATAGTTATAGGGCGAAAAAGAATATGAACACGATGGAGGATTATGTTTCAGATGTTCTGTATCCAGGCCATGTTAAGTTTTTTTTTTGTAATTAAAAAGTTTGGAAGCAATGGTCGATGTGTATTTGTAGAAAATACAAGTTGTAGTCTTTAACTTGAAATATGGTGGAATACAGGACTGGACTCTATTGTGACTAAGACTATTATTTATTTAAGTAATTACTTACCGCGTCAATTCTGTTATTGGCATATTGATATTGAAGTTAAAGGAAAAGACGGATTGTTTTAGCTGCATTTTCTTCCGAAAAAAACGTGCGGGTTTAACAAGCCTATGATATGCAATATCCATAATAAAAGACCCGAGTCTATATTCTGGTGCCGAGGAATCAAAAATTGGACTTTCCTTGGCCTTTCCAAGAAGACTATTTAAAAGTTTCAAAGGGACAGAGTAAAGTTTGGTGCAAATATGATGTAGACCTAACTGTTGATTTACATAAGGAAGTAATGAATCAAAAGAAACGTCGTGTATTACAGGTTTATTGTACGACCGATGCCCATGACTACGCTTACGTCTCTGTGTATGGTTAAAAAGTCCCATCACATTTACATTATTACACTGTGGACTGGAAAGATTTCCAACACTATGGACAATGTCTTTACATCCATAGGGAAAGGTTGCCCTTAGTTATCTAATCCAAAATTCTTCTCATTGTCTACGGAAAGGTGTACTAAGCGATTGACAATTAGTGTGGTGATATATCTTTTCGAGAATTCTAAGTATCATAGACAAAATAGAATGATCAGGTAAATGAAAATGTTTTTATAAAAGCTGCTGACCACCATGATGTTTATTTGAAATCGATGACCTGATATTTTTTTAATTAATGACAGTTATTAGTGCATGTTAAATTAATGTTTTTATTTTTATGCATCAAGATAATTTCTTGACTGGTTTAAAGAGTTTTATCATGAAAGTTCTACACAATTAGTTTCGGGAACTATTGATGCATCTTATGTACTTCGCATGTACAGGTGAGGCACGTTATGCATAAATTATCCCATGTTTCCCACTATCGTTGATGTCCCTGGCATACTACACTAACTATGCAGTAATTACTTATATTTCCATTTCATTGTGAAATGAATATGTAGATTTAGATTTTAAAAATGAAGACTACTAGATTTAAATTATACGAGCCTTCCATGTCAATTTCAATAGCCCTCACCCACTAACGTTAAACACAAATTCAGCCGCACGAGATTTACCTGCATATTTTGCCTCTTTTCTTTGCGTCAGACACAACGAGATTTACATGCATACAAGGTCTACCTAGCTCCTGACCTATCGATTTGCCTAATTTATTATCCGTTAGAATTTACATGATATCAACTTCACTAACTTTCAATGAGTTACTGAACAAATGAAATAATATATTCTAGTCGTAACACGGCATTTGATCGTGTTAAAAGAATTAATCCTTTGTGTATAACGAAGTAGTTATACCGGGTGCTATTGACACCGGGTGCTGTGAACTTGGTTCAGTGTTACTAAATACTGTGTAACGAAGTAGTAATACCCGCTGTTGTGTACCAAGTGCAGTGGTACCAGGTGCAGTATTACCGGGTTCTCTCTTTACCAGGTATATTATTTTTGAGTGTAGAGTAGTGAGATTTATTGAAACTGAGCACTGTGTGTCAAGTGTTACAGCCTTAGGTCTTGTGAAAATTGAATGAGCATGGATAATACGAGGGTTGATCAAAAAGTTCGCAAACTAATTGATTAACTTCCATACAAAAAACAATATTTGGTTTTAATGTTGATTATATTTTAAATTAATCCTCCCAGATTTTAATGCACATCAACAACCGTTCTGCGCATGCGCGAATCACGTGATATTGGTGGTCACGTGACCCCCTCCGTAGCGTTCTGTCACAAAAATTAAAAGATTTTTCCGAGTTTTATATTTCTTTCCATGTGAGTTAATTTTTATGACAAGAACAGTTAATTTGTCAGAAATGGTCATATCTCGGCAACAGAATGGGTGGATAATAACATCCTTTCCAAAAATAAGCAACGCGACCATTAAAATACAAATCTTCTGTCTCAGGAGAGACCTTTATTCAAGGTGAATAGAGAATGGGTGCATCCTTTTTATCATATCTAATATGTTTAAAATCTAAAG